GATAAGTCATACCTTTTGTATTATTATGCAAACTAGTATTACTTTGAGAGCCAGGTCACTAGGAACAGCTTAAAACTTTCACATCTACAGATCACAAACTGATTTTAGGATTAGGAACTGAAGACTGAAATAGATCATTAGGTCACAGGCTGAACTGCAAAAGAATGCCTCTTCCAAGCATCACTTTTTAAAGATATAAGAGGTGGCTGCACCATTAAAAAAAAAAAAATTAAAAAATCATGACTAGAGCTATAGCCCAAAGTTACATGACACCTGAATAACCACAGCTGATGGGAACAATGACAGTACGAAGACACACAGCAAGCTGATTGCAGGTGTCCTACAGCTTCTCCTCCTTAGTTCCTGCCTCTTACTTCATCCGAAGTAGAATACTGCTTCAGGCTAAGTAAAATAAAACAACAGCTGCAGAACTAAATGGCTATTCTTTCTGCAAATGAGCAGCTGTGGTAGAAAATTGGCCCTCTGGCAGTCCAGAGGAGTATGATAGTTCTCGTACTCCACTAAAAGGCACAAACAAATATTCCAAAGGAATTCCAGTTAAAAAGTTAGGAAAAGTTGACTAAGGAAGAAATGATAAAGCAATCATGGAAGAACTCAGAGAGAAAAAAAAATGCTTCAAAAGAAAGTTGTAATAATGCAATTATCTGTATTTGAACAATTACAGTTACACAGAACAGTTCTAAGCAAAAACAACAATGGATTGCCTCCAGAAATGTAAGTCAACTATAAAATGGGAAGCAAAGCCACAAGAAACTTCAGGTAATCCTGCCAAAACCAGAAGGAAAATATGAATTTGGTGAAGTCCTACAATACCATAAAAGGAACATGAATAATCTATTTCAACTGGAGAACACAGTGGTATCCACAGACACCAGGAGTTAACTCACCACACATCACTGAAACAACCCACTTACACTTCAGTACGTAAAGGCAAGCAAGCACTTAAAACACTTTACTACAAATCTCTTCTGAGATACAAGGAACAGCAATGATCCTTGTCCCTCAGTTCTGCAAGATACCCTCTGCAAACTGTATCATTTGGAAATAGCTGTTCCCAGCACAGACATAAAGCAAGTCTTTGGCCGGACTTTTATTTGTACTGGTAGTAGCCTCTAGACAAAACCAAAACAACTGACACTAGGGACATGGGAAATAAGTTCCCAACAAGCTCAATTAAGTTTACTTTCGCTTACATAGCTTCTCACAAACAACTACACAACACAGGGCAGGGTGCTGGTTTAGCATCTTCCTTGAAAAATACAGATTTTTCTTCACAACAAGTAGTCAAGGAAGTTACACTCTGGCATAACTATAGAGAGATTTCCTGTTAAGAATGGATAATTACAGCATTGCAACTTCCTTCCAAGCCATCCATCCACATTCTCCTTTAAAGAGCGCTACTCCATTAGCTACAAGCAGATAGGGTTACTATGCCATATTCATTCAAGAACCCAACTCTAAATGTGTTTCACATCAAAGCTGTTTTAACTACACCCCACAACATGCATATGTACACAAACTTTTTTACGCTACTGATATCACTGCTACAGCAGTTTCACTGCACCGACCTAGTGAACTTCCTACTTGGCATTAACTATGTATCTTCTGTTTTTCCCAATATGAATTATCCATCATACATACATATGCACGCACACACACTCCCCCCACCCTGTGTTAGAATCATGTAAAAAAAAAAAGAGCAAAACCTGGCAACAAGTGTTCCAACACCTTTACATCCAAACAACCTAAAGTACTTGGTCTCAGCATCACTATACAGTACTGAACACAGCAACCAAAAGCTAAACACTAAAGAACAGGTTGTATAAATCTCAGTGTACAAATTAAACCCACAAACCCGTTTTGAGCTATCACTGCTCAGAGAGGTGTGAAAACTAGGACAAAGTCCTAGTGAAACTAGGTTTTCTGTAAAAGAAATTTCACGAACTATGCTTTGAGGGTTTCAAGACTATTAAACCTGCCTGATTACTGTAAAACAAGTAATCCATCATTACAAAAGCAGCACCTAGATTACAAAACAGAGAATCCTTATCCCAGCTGTAAGACTGGACCTCCAAAACAGGAGAAAAAGCATATCCCAAGCGCAAGTATATGACTAAGATGATTGTTGCTACCTATCATAAGCCATGCCCACTTGTAAATTAGAATTGTAATTCTTTCTCCCTCAAACCAAACAAGAAACTAAGCTTTGTAACAAGAGAGAAAGAACATTCTTTGGAGTAGATTATATTTTTATCGTTATGGGCTAAGAATGCCTTTTTACATTCTTTGATTATTAAGGTAACAGTCACAGAGGGAATATACAAACCTAGGAAGGGAAGCACTTCAGTTTTGGAACTCCATAGACAGTCAAGAACAAGATAAATAAGGGTAGGAATAATCATGTGCATGGATACTTATATTGGATTTTCCCCCATTTGTATGAGTTAACATGAGACTGAGCTACTTAAATGTGTTCATGATGGCTCAAGCTTAATAAAGAAAGAATTTCAGAAACAGGACAGTCAGAGATACTGAGATCTGTACAAGCAATACAAATACCACATTAACAAGAATGTATGTCATGGTCACAGAAAATGCTACAAAACTCAGACTTTATTCCAGGACAGTATTTAAAAACTCAGCTTATCAACTCGTCCAGGACACAACCTTTAACAAAGTAAGTTTTAACTGTCATTATCACAACAAAGACTAATTAGAAAAATATTTAAGAAGCATGCCACCTATGAAGACTGGTATATTAATTGTCATTTACAGCGAGATGTCAGTTCACAGGACCTACCTAGTCGTTAAACTGTTTGTTGCAAAAGGAAGAGATGTGCAAATAACTCAGAAGTGGGGCTTGAGTCGCAGCTTGTGCAAAAAGCATTCATTTTTAAACATACAACTATAAATGGTATGAACAAAGAAAATTTTCAAAATATGAAACTGTGTGTCATTTCCTGATGCCAGGAACACAGACTTCTAACAAACATATTACAGGCAGCATACAAAACTTATCTACCCATGATCTATTTTAATCACTAAAAAAAAAAAAAAAAGGCACTAGTAGTAAAACTAATTAAAAAACCAAGTTTGCTTTGCTCTGATAAAAGAATTATCTGAGAAAGAGGCAGGAACTGGGACTTTTGACAGACTAGAGTAGACAAGGGAAATACAGAAATGGTCTCCTCATCCAGCAATTACCAGATAGCTTTCTAAGGAAGTTCAAGCACCCCCCCACAGCAGCATCCTATAGGTCTCCATCAGGATGTCCCCTAGCAACCATGTTCAGAACACCACCCTTGTATACACGCCAGCCTGAACAGCAATTGTCTGGTCACTTTGATGTTCTTTTTCATAAAGCTTATACCATTAAATAATTCAGCTAATAAACGCGCTATTACTGAAACTGTACTTTTAGCACTATTCCAGGATAAACCTGACGAAGTTTTTTTTTTCCAGAAAGCGTCCCTTCTGTTCTGCGAAATCCAGCAACATCACGACTTCAGACATAAGCCATATGACAAGGTGTTTTCTCTACCTGAGACTCAGTTACTTAAAGCCCAAAGATTTCCTCAGCCTTCTGACACCCTGGGCTGACCAAAAATAAGAAAGCCACTCAGTTACTATTCAGTCTTCAGGCAAAAGATGAAATGGATGAGGCAATACCAGAAAGAAACCGAGCAGCTGTTATGGGGCTACCCTAAAAAATTGATAACATCCCTCTTGGGTACTCGCAGAACAAGAATTTATTAAACCTTTAAGTCAGACATGTTTTGGTGGAAAGAAGAAATAAGTACAGTACAATTAATCCTAGTACTATCATCTGGTCTTCTCATTTGGACATAGAGCAACTCAGAAGGCACGAATTCAAGACACATGAAGACCCAACCTTCTCCTCACAGACGTGGGTGGGAGGAAAGGAGAAAGCACACATACAGAAGGCATAGCCACGCAACTCTCTCCAGTGTCTTTCATCACATATTGGGGGAAGTGAAACGGGGTGGGGGTGTGTGGAGAGAAGGGTCTTTAAAAGGCCTAGAATAAATAGATGCAAGATAATCAGGTGTTCAAGCCAAGAACATCCTCAGTCTTGTGACCTTACAGCTTAGTGGGAGACACACTAATAGGAACTTCGGTGCTCATCATTCTCTTCATAATCACCTGGATGGAACCGAGTTGATAGAAAACCTTTTAAGCCTTTCCACCTTGGATCTATTTTTAATAGAAGCTGAAAAAAGGCCAGACTCTGTATGGGATGTTAAGCTCAGGTACTGAAGGTCTGAAGAAGTCCTCTTAGGCCCATCTTCCCAAGCGAAGGAGACATACTAAAAAGGTAAGATTAAGAACAACACCCTTACTGAGAGAGATTAGCCCCTCAAGCACTCATTTCACACATTATTCTACGTGGAAGAGTCACCAGAATGACGGAGAAGCAATTTTTTTTTTTTTCTAGTAGACTATTTGGGAAAGAATTAAGGTAATTGATCAGCTATTCCTTCTCAAAACTCCTGCACCTCCTCTACAGAACGGGGGAGCGCTGCCGTAGCAGAACACAAATGAGATCAATTAGTAAGGAAATTACAGCCTATTCCTCTGCTTGGCCTTCGTGGTCCTCTCTCCCTCCAAAGAAGAGGAATGGGGCAAGTCCTGTCCTTCAGGAGCTCGCACCCTCCAGGGCCCTGCGCATATGGAAGAGCTAATAAGGCCCCTTCCGAGAGCAGATACACCGAACAGCCTCCCCCAAGCCCCCCCGCGCCACCGCCCCCATCCTACCCCCCCCCCCCCCCATGCGAACGTCCTATGCTGAAACACACAGAGCTCCTCCGCCTGACGAGGCTTCGCGTCCCTGCGAGGCCGGTGGGAAAGCAGGCAGCCCCACAGCGGGCACCCCGCTCCACAGGACCCCGGGAGAGGCGGGGAGCCCGGCGGGACGCGCGGGGAGAGCCCTCCGTCCGCCATCCCTCCCCGGTACTCACAGTCCAGGTGCTTTTTCTTGGGCCCCATGACCTCGTGGGTCGTGGCCTTGCAGACGGTTTTCGAGACCGCCGAGCCGGTCACGCTGTGCTGCGCCGCCGTGATGCGGTCGGTGAGGCTTTGGCCGGACATGGCGGGTTGCTGGCGGCGCTGGAACCGAGAGCGGCTCCGCTCCTTCCTCAGGGGCCGGGACGGGAGGACTAGCCGGGGGACGGAGCTGCACGGACTCCTCACCCCGCCGTGCCGCAGGCGGCCCCCGCTCCGCCCTCAGGGACGGACCTGTCACCCGAGCAGGGACCCCTCCTCCTCCTCCTCCTCCTCCTCCTCCCG